AAGTTGGGCTTTCCCATTGTTGGCTGTCTGCTGACATCCCTTCTTCTCCACTTATGTCGTCCTCTTCTTGTTGTTGTTGTTGTTGTTGGTGGTGGTGGTGGCGGCGGCGGCGGCAGCGGTTGCGGCGGCGGTGGCGGTGGCGATCATTGAACACAATCTCAGGCTCGGATTAGTAAAGGTGGTCGCATTAGAGCGAAATTGGGCTGGAACGGAATATTCTAAATGGGTACGGATTAAAGCGAGATTTGGTCTGCACGGATTAATAACAATACAAAAACAGAATAACTCCATGCTCGGTTCTGGAAACGCCCACGCAGAGAGAAAAACAAACAGCGAGAAGACAACCAGAGAAGCCAACCAATCTAAGCAACCGAACCTTTAATCAGGTTGTAGTTAGTAAACTAACATTTTTAGAGTTCAATCTCCCGATCTCCTGTGATGCGAGGCACGTTGCCTTTCTTACAGGCCTCCTGCTTCCAGAGGTAGAGGAAGAGACTCTGAGCACTGCAAACTATCGATTTCTTATAATACCGCTTATTGGAACAACCCAGGCAACCATTTCTGCTAAGGGGTACCATGCTGAGACCGCCGGAACGGAATAATGACCATTAAAAAAAGTAAAGGCCCTGACAGGCATGGACCCCAGAATCTGCAAAAGATGAATAGGTTTAACCGCAGATATAACCCAAGCCTTAGGCCTGGAGATCTGCAACTAACTACTTTTTAAAACCGCTTGCCGGCAAACCGATTCCATTCCGATTCTCCGATTTGGAGCACGGCAGAAACCATCGATTTCTTATGAGACCACTTCTTGGAACAGCCCAGGCAATCATTTCTGCTGAGGGGTGGTATACCGACACCGCCGGAGTGGAGTAATGGCCAGTAAAAAGGGTACGGAAGAATCCTGGCCCTGGCAGGCGCGGACCCCTAACCCCAGGATCTGAAGCAAGATGATTTTTTTATTGTCGAATATTGCCGATATATCCCAAACTCAAACCTTAGGCTTGAGGGTTTAGGGCGTACGGCTTAGGGTTCATGAGTTTCTTTGGGACACCCACAGACAATTTTTCCCAAATGTATAATGCCCCCCCGGACTATTTTGAAGGGTGCTCTCCGAAAGGGCACGAAGACAGCTCAACGATCGGAGAAGACCGGCTGCAGCCTGCAGAAAGTCAGAGACCCCGCCGTCTTCTCAGCAAGCATTGTGCAATGATGATAACGTGCAGGCCGCTGTGTTGAAGCAGGCTGCTGAACAAGTCAGTAAAGATGCTGAACAAGTCAGGCAAGACATTGCCAAGCTTGAGGCGAGAAAAGCCGCCCTCGAAGCGCAGGAAGTTGTCCTCGATTCCTTGTCGCAGCAGGTTCAGAAGAGGGTGAAAGACAGGGCTCGGAAGCTTGAAGAAGAAGAGCGTGAACAACAACGCCAGGAGGAACTGAAGCGAAAGCGCCAGGAGGAGGAGCAAAGATGTGAGGAAGAACGCCAGGCGGAGAAAAGACGGAAGCAACTGGAGTGGCAGGCCCAAGAACAGCGAGGTCCAAGAATCTGGGCACAGTGCGCCGCGAAGGATCACTTGCTCAAGAATTTTGACAGGACAGCGCTGCAAGTTGCTCTTGGGCAGAGTGGGTACATCACGCTCTGGGATTATGTGAAAGGCCACGCTTGGTGTGGAATTCCGACCCGCTTGTACAACAAGCTCAATGGCCGGGGGTATCATCAGTCGCATGCAAAACTGGTGGCATTGAGTCCGGATTCAGATGCCTTCTACGTTCAGTTTAGCGATGGAGACTGTGACTGGTTCAGCTACAGTGCTGAAAGCTTTAGGCAGGCTCTGAACGATTCTTCGACTCCTTCAGTGGTTGCACTTGGCCCAAGACGCGCGTGGTATGTAGGATGGCCTGATGGGAGGTGGCAGTCCAATGGTTTGCCCAGAAGTTTGCTCAATATGCTCAACTCGAACAGACACCGGTCTGTGGCCTTCATGAGCATCTCTGGCTTAGACATTAGCTCCAAGGATGATGACTCTCGAGACAGTGATGATGACTCTCGTAGTCCGAGCGAGGATGAAGCATTCTGAAGAAAAGGTGGTCTACCAATTCCAGGAACCTAAATTCCGCATGTGAGGGAGGCTTCTGTGCTTCATTGATTTGTGGAGTTGCTTGGAGCCTGCAGTTCAGACATGTAATGACGATGACTTCTGATTCTGCTGCTTTCGCAGCCAGCTTTTCTTCAGCCACAAGCCAACTTAGTCATTGATCTTGAGGGGATAAGCAGCCATGTCCTTCGTCGAGATTTCTGGCAACCCTGAACTTGCTTCTTCCTTGGCTTCTGGGCTGCATGCGGACGGGCGGAGGACTCAAGTTGGGTCTCCGCAGGCGGCCGAGACAGCGGAGAGGTTTTCGGAGTTTTTCGATGCTCAGGAGCAGCGGGACCGCCCCTCGGCAGCACCATGACAATGCCAACAACTTGCTGCAGGGGGCTTCGAGACTTTTAGATCAGGGGTGTGTGGCCCTGACTTTGCTTGTACAGTACAGCCTGGCAAGCCAGGGAGCGACGCAATGCAACTGACGGCGGAGGGCATTCAGAGTTTGGCACAGAGGCGGGGGCTTCAACTGGAACGATGGACTATGACATAGACTTTGTTTTTCATGCTGGAGCTTCTATGTCAGCTGGATACGTTTCAACCCTGCCCTCTGCGACGTTGGCTGTGCATCCGTGACCCCACTATCTGTTCGACTTGGTCTAGTACAGTAGTTTGTTTCTTTCTTTGACCTGGGAATCATGCGTGTTGCCCCTACATCTCGGACTTAGCTTCGTGGCTGGGGAGGTGCCACGACCTTCCGTCTGCGAGCAAGGATTGGGATGTCACAAAGCTTCACACGCCTGTGCAGTTGTGTCAAGAATAATGGGGATTTCGGATCAGAGCCGCAGATATGAACATGCCTGCCTCCCACAGCATCTCGGGACACCGCTCACACTTCTCAGAAACTTGCCCACAGACACAGAGTCGAGAACAGCGGACTGACGTGCTGAAAGCATGTTGTTTTGTAATTCATCTGTGACAGAAACTGTTGAGAGGGGATGCTCTACTGATCTGAAAGTGCTGATGCAGTGGCAGAGCTCGAAGCAGGAGACATGTCAAGTCGCAGAGCTGGTCCGAGATGCAGCTTTGCCAGCTAAGATTGCTTTTGGAACAATTAGATTGCGACAGTACCATAAAATGTTTGTGAAAACCCATATAGAGTTAGCTGATGCCGGGCCTTGTATGCACTGGGCTCCAGAAGTCTGCCGAAACACGACTAAGGCCACCAAGAATATGCTCAGCTGCGTGGATGAGACTTCCAAAGGATGCCACAATGAGCTCCTGGACATGATTGATGCTCGCGAACGCCACTTGCTTTGCAGTGTCTCCCGAACGGGTAGATCATGGGTTACACAGTGTATCCTGGGATAATGTTCTGCTCTATGCGCTGACCTTCGGTGTGCAGGCAGACACTTTGAGCTGGTCATGCTCATTGCGCAGGGCGGTCACCAATGCGGCGATCTTGTCCAAGCGGTAATGGATTTATACCAGAGGATCAACAAGATCTTCGATGTCGAAGGCATCGTGCTTTAAGAAAGAGCTCTTGCCGTGTTTTTTTTGTATCCATGCCACCATAGATTGGAGTGTCTTAGCTTGCTTGCCAGGATCGGGAAACGCAGGTAGCAATGTCCGTTTCAACAGCAAGCACGTTCAACAAGAACTGCAACGACTGGACGCGGTGCTTGCGGACCTTGTCCAAACGGAGAAGAGTCTCATCACAATCAGCAGTCCAGAGAACGGTGCCAAGTTAATGCAAGCAATCCAGTCCGTCAACAAGCAACTGTTCACATGTGACATCTTGGAGAACGTGGCAAACGCCTTGGAAGCTCACCTCCGCCTTGAAGAGCAACAGGACGAGGTCCACAAGCGCCGCAGTGAAAGGCAGGCGATGGTGTGGGTGGCGGAAGCCGAGATGAATTCCCTTAAAGCTCGCGCGCAACATGCTGAAGAGCAACGCAGCACGGCCAAGCGCAGCTACATGGGCATTAGTAGAACCACTTCACTAGCCATTGGTTTGGTTCTAATAGTGCTGCTAAATGTGCATTGCCTGAAGGTCTTATTGCTGTTGTTCAAAATTTGTGGCAGCTCAAGGAAATCTCCAGGCAAAGCAAGAAAAGCTGGAGCAGCTGAAGTTGAAGGAGTACATCTCGAGGGATGAGCTGCTGCGCAGCCACAAGGAGCGGAAGCAACAGCTGGAAAAGCAGCTGGAGGAGCCTGGTTGCATGGCATATACGTCTCCATTCCAACATGCAGATGCCCCGCAGATGCCTCCTTTAGTTCTTCAGTTGCGGATTATGCTGTCAACTCAAACCTACAATTGAAGGAGCTGAAGTCCAGGAAAGAGCAGGAGCAGAGCAAGAGCAACGCGCCCATCCAACTCTGCCAAGACAAGACTCTGGAGCTCCAGAAGCAGCTCTTGAAACTGCGTCTTTATTCATTGGGATTTGTTGTTTGCCGTGCTTCGAGCCTCACCTACCTCAGAGCTGAATGTTTTGTTGCTTGGAAGGAACTTGGATGCATTGAGCATCAACCACATTATGCTGGTTGTGGACACTTGGCTTGCCAAGAAGCTGCAGCATGATAAATCAAGAAGCTCTGCACATATGGGTCGGGGCAATCCTCACTTTGCATGAAGCCATTGGGAACTATCAGGACAAAAGCGCGAGCATGGCCGGACCTCGATGGCAATCAGTGCTTCGTGCCGTCAAGGCGTTTCAGGCTGCCTGCATCAGTAAGGGCTCACAGGACCGGAATCAAGCTGACAAGACGACTATGGGATAGTTTGGATGTTCTCGGGTTGGATGGAGAAGTCCGATGTTGACCCGCTGTTTCCGGGGACCCAAGTTATCCGTACAAGCCGCGACCCTCCTACAAGGAAACAGGATTTACGCAAAGCTCTGTGTCATTTTGTGTGACTTGTGCACGAGCCTTCACCCACTTGAATGACAGAGTCGCCCACTGCCCCTGTCGCTGTGCAGGACAGAGTGAGCGTGATTCCCTTCGACATAGAGGCCTCAACGCTGGTCAAAGCATCTCCAGTCACAGCTGATATTGCCACTTGTCACTTGAAGCAGCGAACACTTCAGTTTGAACATCGATGAGCGTGCCTTCAACATGTAAGCTGAGGCTGGTGCCCTGAAAAAGGTGACTCCTGACAATGGGACTCGGTACGCTCCCGCATGGAGGCAGATTCAGGAGCTGGGCGCTGCAGAAGTTTGTTCATCGTTTCGCTTGGGCCAAGAGGAAACACTCGCGAGGTAGGACTCTAGGCAGCATGCAACTGCTTCGTCACACCCCTGTATGCAGTCGGTGAGGAGTGCGCCAAAGGAGAGCCTCTGCATGCTCGAATCTTCGTCATTTTTCTCAGCGATGGCTTGACTACGCCGCAAGACTTGAGCGAGGCTGCGGCAATTGCTGAACGCGTGCATTCAGATGCAGCCGCACTGAACAGATCCATGTGTGCCTTCTTCGTGCATGTGGATGACGCTCCATCACCTCTGATCGAGAAGTTCCTGATGCCTCTTGTGAAGGCTTCTAACGGTGGGCAGTTCAGCAAGTCCCTGGGAGAGAGTACGATTGACCTACTGCGGCCTGTCGGCACAGCCGACCTGGTTCCCCACTTTGACCGACTAGCTAGCTATGTCAATTTGGAAAAATGTGTGCTGGAGAGCAGGCTGTCAGTAGTCAAAGCACAAGAAAGGGAGAGCAGGGCCAAGATCTCAGAGGAGTTGAAGGACATGGAACACTTCTACAAGGAACAGATGCGAAGCTTGTCGCGAGCAACCAACCTGGCTGAGAAGAGCATGAAGACGGATCAGAAGAAGATGCAGGAGCTCTTTAACGCTATGGTAAGTGAAATGCAGGAAGAGGTTTGGGACCTCGAAAAGTCCTTTGAAAATGCGGAGCAGAGGCGTCTGCAACTTGAAACCGCTTACAAGAACGCTGAAGCGGCCTACCACAAAGAGAAGAACCAGTTCGAGCAGAGCGCGGAAGATCACAGGATGATGTGCGACAACTTGTCCAAGATGTGCAGGAATCAGGCAAGCCAAGTGGATAAGATTGGCCAGCAGCAAGCCCGGTTCCTTGATCAGTTTGGCACCACAGACGCTACAATCCTGAAGAAGCAATTGGAGAGTTTGCGTCAGCTCCAGAAGCAGCTGCAGCACAGCAGCGTGATTGAGCAGGACCCCGCTGTTGGCTCCGAACCAGTGTGCTGCAAGCAAGTTTGTTGACCGGGCCTTCTGATGTATGCCAAGCATCACAACACTTTTGAGCATACCAGCCATGAGAGTTGTTGGGTCGCTCTGCCTGTGAGCGCATGTGTTTTGGCACGGCGGCTGCCGGGAATCAGTCTGGGGAGTTGCATCTACTTTCAGTGTCTCATATGGCTAGCCATATGACATCATGCAGGATTTGTGCTGCATGCTGCACAGCATGGTCACCTTCACGACCTGCCTCAAAGACAACATCATCGACCCACTCCCAGGAGGCTAAAGTTTGGGTCTGTAGAACGGATCATGATGACTGCCAGCCCTGGCCTGCCAATGCTTTGTTTGATGGGGGGGGCGCCGGAGTTGGCCTAGGATCCACTGAAAGTGTCCTAAACGTTTATCGTGATTCCTGAGTCGTGCCAAGCAGAGGGCCACCGGAAGATGCAGCAGAGAGGTGTTTGATTCGTTTGCTGACATCGAAGCTTGCACATGCGGTCGACACCATCTCTTTGTTGCCCAGCTGTTCAGAGAGATACTCATAGTGGTGGGGTTTCGTGATGTTTAGACTTTGCAGGCACTGACAAAATCTCCAAAGCCAAGGCGGGTAGTCTGTGCCTGCGGCCTCTCAGTTCATGTGCGATGGTGTGATCCGCCTCCTGGATGCCCTGACATCCTCGGCCATCGCGGCTGGCTCAACGCAGAGGGCCACGACGAAGAGATCACATGTGGGTGAAGGCCGCGCCCCGGGCCTCAGAGTGAAAAGCATGATCGGCAGGTTGCTTATGATGGTGCCGGCCTCAGGGAGCCGTAGTGGGAAACAGTATGAGAGCAGCAAATTTGAGGAGACATGTTTGGAGCGTGCGCAGTGCAGGGGCGAGGACACTGCAAAATTTTGGCAGGCCGGCATTGCTGGCGAGGCAGGAGTTTTCCAGGACGCTGTTGTCGGCGACGGGGAGCTCCAGGCCCACTTTTGCAACATGGTTGGATGCCTCGGTGGCGTGAGCCCAAGGGAGATTGTGATCTTCTACGGCGGCCAGCTGGGCATCGATTGGGCCATGAGCGGCTATGGGATGACGGAGGGCTTTGACGGAGGCCAGGTCTTCGAGCATGGAGTGCTTGAGGGCTGTTGCTGGCATGGCTGGCTTTTGGGTGATCCACCTGATCCCGGTGAGGGTGTTTGTGGGCAACTTGGCTGGTTCTGTGAACTACCTGGCTGGCGGCATGGCCTTCGGGGAGTACGTGTTGGAGAGGCGGCACACCCTGGACCAGGCGGCGGAGCAGCGGCTACGGAGCATCGCAGGCAAGAGAATCAGATGCAGCAGGCGCTGGTCTCAATCATTGAGCTCCTGATGTCGGTTGTTGCGAGCTTGGCGGGCAGTGACCATCCGGTCCAGAAACAAATGGCTGGCATCACTGGGCTCCTTGGCGTCCTGCGCGCCGGCCGGGAGGATGCGATTCTTGAGGAGGAGCAGCCACCGCCGCCTCCTTGGCGTCAGGTGACCTTCCAGGCGGAGCCGGACACGACTTCCTTCGTCACCGAGGGGGCCCTCAAGCCGATCCCGGGGCAAAAGGGTGGCAAAGCCAAGGCGGGCGGAACCATTGGACAGGGCAAGGGCAAGAACCTCAACTTGGAGGAGGGCAATAAGAATGGCTCAGGCAGCACAGGCGGCAAGGGGGGCAAGGACATTGGAGGAAAGAAAGGCCATGTCAAAGGCGGCAAGGGCGGCAAGCGGACTGGGGAGGATGCTAAAGCAAAGCTTCGACCGCAGGATTGGGTGGGCAACATTGTCGATTATGCCACAGCTTGTTCGCAGCTGAACAGCCTCAGTGGCTCGGTGCTCGTTTGGGTCAAGGATGAAGAGCAGGCGGACGCCCTTTCGCAGATGTTGCTCGGAGCCGGGACTAAATGCACGGCAAGGATGATCTGGAGATCGGCCACTGGATCATTCAAGGTTCCGGTTGAGTGTGCGGGGGAATTGATGGTGGAGAGTTTCGCCTTTATGGACTACACCACAACAGGCACTCCGCTGCCTTCCTTCAAGCAGGCGGCCAAGACGGCAAAGAAGGTACCCAAGGAGGTGGTCACCACAACTTTGAGGGTGGCGCTGGCTAAGGACTTCGTCGCCAAGGAGGTTTGGAAACAGGCCACCTCGGCACCCAGGGCGGCGATCCAGAAGTGGGGGCGCGAGGTTGCGAAGGCGGGCTCCGTTGCTTTTGTCAAGGACGCCTGGGGCTTTGCCGAAGAGACCAGACTCGGCAATGCGGCGGTGGTCGGACTCATCCGTGTTCCTGTTGATCGAGCTGCTGAGGTGCTTCAGTTGTCAGGGGAGCAGGGTGTTTTTGTCGAGCCGGCAGGGCGTGACAACGTGGTGCCATGTGAGATCGAGTGGCTTGACACGGTTGATGGCGAAACTTGGGGGCAAGCCGTGGCCAGGGCTAAAGCCCAAAAGCCCAAGTTCGGAGTCTTTTTGGGACGAAGGCAAGTTGGGATGCGATTGGAGGCGGGCAGTGCACCGAGGGCCAGCAGGATCCGGTACTTTGCGATCAAGAGCGCCCCCACGAACTGGCCCGACGAGCTGGTCAAGGAGATTGTGGAGGAGCAGACTTCCCTGAAGCAGGTGGTGGTCCATCGCAAGGCTACTCAGAAGGGAAGGGCAACCTATTACTTCAAGGCTCGGGCGGAGGAGGACAATGCATGCTACATGCTGCAAGTCGAGGATGCTTCTGTCACTTCCAGCCTCTGGGTGGTGCCAATCAGGGGCGAGGTAGTCCGCTCCAGCCGGCCAATCAGTGAGAAGGGCGGCTTCGTCTTCCAGCGTAGGGCGCCGGCACAACTTGGAGCAGACAAGCCGGAGGCCAAGAACAGCAAGGGGGAGGACTCCAAGGAGGAGGGGCCGCCGGCCAAGAAGCCGGCGGTTGCGCGGCAACAGCGTGCGGTTCCGGAAGGAGTCGCGATCAACAAGGTGGACGGTGACGGCAACTGCTTCTTCAGTGTGGTGGGCCAGGGACTGGGCAGAATCCGCAACGAGCCTGCTCTGCCTCCGGCGCGGGTCCGTGCTGAGATCTGCGCTCACATGAGGAAGCACCGTGCCAACTACGAGGAGTTTTGGAACGGCAAGGACTCGGATGGCAAGGACATGCAGGATTTCGAGGACTACATCAAGCACATGGCGGAGAATGGGAAGTGGGCGGGCAGTTTGGAAGCCTATGCGGCGGCAAAGACGTACAAGCTTGCGGTGTACATCATCCCCGCTCCGGTCGACATGGCGGCGGTAGCGTACAACTCCACTGCAAAGGCCAAGCTGGGACTCTGGTACACGGACAAGCCGGGCCACTTTGATTGGTTGTGCCCTCCCACGGGGCACGAGCTACCGGAGACGGTCACGGGCATGGCGGAGGGCACGCAACCAGGTGACTTTCCTAGAGGCGGCGCTGAACGGCAGGAGGAGGAGGGCTCCGAGGCCACAGTTTTCACTAGGATCGCAAGCAGGCCCAACTTCGACAATGACGGGGGCAAGACAGAGTCAGTGGGGAGGGCCACAGTCTTCACGAAGCTTGGTGCGCGTGAGTTTCCTGGCCCCATCACTTGTAAAACAGGAAACTCCCAAGACACTCGGCAGTCCATGGCGGGTGGAAGCACGGAGGAAGGGGCCACTGCGTTGAGGTCCAGCAGCAAGCGAGCCAGGCAGACTGAGCTTGAGGCGGCGCCATCTGAAGCGACTGCTTTCACTGAGGTGGCGGAGACCAAGGGCAAGACTCTGCGCCACTGGTTCGCGCAGGCACGCAGGGCGGGATCTGAAGCACTCACGGGCGTGCGCTCCTCGGCTTCGTCATCAACTATGGTGGTCGAGGATGAGGACAATGCCAGCACCGAGGAGATAGCGCCGCCGCCTGCACCGGTGGCCGTGAGGAGGTGGCGGGGCGGCGTCCCGCGGAAGACGCACAACTCGTGGAAATGCCCTGAGTGTGGGTGGAGCACGGGACGGACAATTTATTGGAGGCAGAAGAAGGCCTCCCATGTTTCCCATTTTCATCCTGACCTCAAGGCGGAGCTCAGCATGCGGCCGCAGCTTATTCAGATGGTCCCGTGGTCTGCGGCTACTTGCGTCCGGCGATGTCCCGTGGAGAACTGTGGCATGGGGCTCCCGGCAGTTGAGTCGAGTACCGATGCGAGATTGCTGGCCAGGAAGCATCACGCTAAGACTGTTCACCCGGATGAGCCCATCCAAATCTTCCGCCTGGCGCGGCGCACGGCGGACAATGCGAGAAAAGCAACCGTGGCCAGGCTTGGCGCTGGTGTGGCCAAACGACTCAATCAGATCAAGGTGGGAGCGGCTGGCGATCACGATGTGGTCTGCGTCAAGCTGCCGCCGCTTCCAGTCAAGGAGGGCAAGGAGGGCAAGCAGCGGAAGAGCAGGCGTGCTGTTACTCATGTTGTCTGCAAGTGCTGCAAGCGCATCGGTTTTTCCCCGAAGGAACTCGCAGTGCACCCGTGCAAGACGACTTCGCCTGGGAGTAGGCGGGCGGCCATGTTGAAGAGATTACGTGAGGCGCTTGACCAGGGCAAGCTCGACGCGGACGTGGAGGCCGGGGTCACTTTGGTGCTCAACCTGTTTGCGGAGGCGGCAACGCAGCCCTACCAGCAGCACCAGCCGAAGGCGATGGCCTGGCCGTTGGATGCCAAGACTTGGGAGGCGCGGTTCGTCTGCCCAAGGTGTAGCGGAGTATGGAAGCGGTTGCGGGACGTCGAGGGCAAGCAGTGCATGCCTGAGAGGAAGCGGGCTCGCTATGCCGAGGCTGCGCAGTTGAGCAAGCTCTCGGAGGTCGGGGGCGCAGTTGGAGAGGCGGCCACCAACATCCTCGGCTTTCTCAAGGTGAAGGGCGCCAAGGTCGCCGACGAGGATGAGACGAGGCAGGAGCTGGCGAGGGGACTTGGGGGTCATGCCTGAGTCGTTGTTGAGGGCGGGTACATGCAATGTCAGATCATTGGCGGGGCGAATGGGAGCCGTTATGGACATGGCGGCCGATGCTGGGCTACACATCCTTTGCTTGCAGGAGACCATGCTCAACGCCGAGGGCATCCATGCACTTCGTCAGGCCTTTCGGAGTAAGGGCTGGCACTTCATCCCGGGCAGCCTGACCTTCGACTCGCAGGGCAAGCCTGCTGATGGTGTTGCTATTGTGGCTGCTTGGCCGGTGGAGTTGATTGATTCCCCGATGGCGGCCTCCTTCCCTAGCCGAGTCATGACAATCAAAGCGCACCGACCGGGACAGCGTCCTTTGCTGGTCATCAACGGCTACTTCCCGGCCAACGATGTGGCTTTGAACCAATTCCTCACTCAGGAGGTGATCGCTTGGGCGGCCAATACTGGTGAGGATTATGTCATCCTGGCGGATTGGAACCGGGAGCAGAAACAACAACCACTTTGCGGTTATGCTGGCGGCTGGGGCAGTCCACGCGCTAGACCCTGACCCGTATTTTGACGGCGTTGGTACTCACCGCTGGGAAGATGGCTCCTACACGGGCCGAACCATTGACTACGGCATCGCTTCATTGGGCCTCGGAGCATCGCAGCGCCTTCAGTGCTTAGGGCCAGCGGACCATGACTTGATTGCATATGACATCCAACTCAAAGGCACGCGACGGGGATGGAGATGGCAGCCGAGACGCAAACTGAAGGAGGAATTGTTGACCGACTGGGATACCACTTGGGCAGCGGTCGAGGAGGACTTCCAGGGCTACATCCGGGATGCTGACGGTGAGGCGGCCTGGCGCCTCCTTTCCCTCCAGGTCGAGAACGCGATGGACTCCGACTGCAGGCGGGCTAAACCAAGGGGCGAGCCAGGCAAACCTGTACTCACTGAGGCCCACGCGGCCAAGCCACCGACAGTCCAGACCCTCCGTGAGCGCAAGCTGCGTCGAGCTGCGCGGCGGCTCATGGCAATCATCCAGAGGGAGAGGCAAGGTGCAGATGGGGGCCATGAGAGGGCCAAGCTCGCGCGCTACCTCAGGCACATTGTGGAGGCGTACCCTGACCTGGGCGACCTCGTCCTCCTCCAAGGTGATGAGCTGCTCGCGTTCCTTCAGCACGCTGCGGAGGCGGAGGAGACGCGGGCCAATCAGGCGCGCATTGAGGGCTGGAAAGAGAAGGTGAAGTGTGACCTTCCCCGGTTGGCTAGGTGGGTAAAATCGTCACTTGCAGAGAGAGCCACCCCGTTCAGCAATTTTGCGGAAGACCCAGACCCTCAAGCAAAGGCAGAAAGGGCGGCTCAAGAGTGGGGCAAACTGTGGCATCAAGATGGCCGTCCTGATGGGTGCCAGCTTCGTGATATCCTCAACCGACTTCAGATGCAGCAGGAGGCTGCTCCTTGCCCTCTGCTGGACGGTGACGCCTTACACAGAAGGGCGAGAGCTTCGGCCAGAAAGGCGGCAGGATGCGACGGCTGGTCTGGGCGCTACTGGAGCGCGCTACCCCTTAGCTTCTTTGACAAGTTGGCTGCTATTTGGAACCTCGTTCTTGGTGGGGCTCCCATCCCTGTTGCGTGGACTCAGGTACGTGTCTGCCTCATTGACAAGGAAGATGGTGGACAGCGGCCACTCGCTATTGCGGCGCTTGCTTGGAGGTTGGGAGCTTCGGCCGTGGTGCAGCAATTGACTTCGTGGATCAGAAATGTGTTCCCGGAGGAGCTCTACGGGGGCTTGCCCGAGAGGGGCGTTGAGGACGTCCACACTCAGCTGACCTACGAACTGTTCGTGCGGCGAGGCGGCGGAGCTTTGGCTGGTTGCAAAGCGGACGTGCGGAAGTGCTTTGACACGGCGGATCCTAAGCTAGCGATTGCTTGTCTTCGGCAACTTGGAGCTCCTGAACCCCTGCTGGACGTTATCTTCCGCTTCTACAATGAGCATACTAGGTGGATGATGGTGGAGGGTGTCTGTGCCAGACAGCCCATCGAGGCCGCTGCTGCTTTGCTGCAGGGCTGTCCTTTCAGCCCCCTCTGCTTGAATGCCATGATGGCGGTGTGGCTCGCGGTCGTCAAGGAGGCGCACACTTCTTGCAGGGTGGCCGTCTACCTCGATGACAGGAGCATTTGGGCTCGCCAGCGTCGCGGAGCCGCAAGGTGTGTTCAAAGAGCTATGCTGGCGGGTGCAATCGCGGACGAGGCACTAGGCTTTGCCTTGCATGCTGACAAGCTCGAGAGCTTTGGCGCCACGCAAAACGTCCGTGATGAGCTCATGGAGTTCTCGGACGTCGTTGGCATCCCCCAGGTCACGTTCCAGCTGTTGGGCATTCCCTACAACACCTCGAGGGCGGTCCCGGTCGCTACTTCCAGCCTCACGGACAAACTTGAGAAGAGGTGCAAGCGCATCCAGATCTGTGGACAGGGCTACGGTCTACGCAGGGCCCTCCTCGGCAGGCTGGTCATCCCTTTGTTCAGGTGGTGTTCACCGTGGATCCGGTGTCTCAAAAAGCTGACGGCAAGATGGGCGGGCGCCATTGAGAGGGCCTTGTGGGGCGGTGCGATTCCCAGAGGCCGATCGCGGGCTTTGGCATGGACTACCTGCGTCGGGCTGCATCTCTTCCCGGACTACGTCAATGCCGAGACTACTGTGCTTAGGGAGCATCGCCGTTTGTTGCTGGGTAGGCACGCGCACGAGGCCCCGCAGACCAAGGAGGCATTCGCTTACTTTGGCTGGAGGCGGGAAGCAGGCGTGTGGCACTGCCGGCACGGCTCTTTCAAGGCAGGGGCGATTGCGACTTCCGGGCTTCGCAAGCTGCTCCGCATGGATGGGGCTTGCAAACTTTTCATGGGGGACCCGAAGGTGCAGCAGGAGGGTGGCTTTGTTGGCGACTTTGACCTTACGCATCATCACTACCAGGCACTCCACGTTGAGGGCTATCAGGCGAGGGTTATGGTAGGCGGTGCAGCGGATGCCAGGCATGTCACTCCCAAGCATGGCGATGTCATGGAGCGCGCCTGTCAGTGTGGGCAGCAGGGGCCAACCAGGACCCACATGACATTCGAATGCCCTCGGGCTCCCTGGAGACTGGAAATGCGTTCGGCTGTCGAAAGAAGGCTGTTGCTTCCTCTGAGGCCCCCGCCTCCGACGTGGGGTATCGCAGACTATGAGGCGGGCATCATCGAGGTCGCTGACTTTTTGGGCACGCTTGACCAGGAGCAGGTGCACTACGCGGCCACCGACGGTGGCTGCTTGTTGGCGAGAGGAGGCGAGCCGTGGCAGCGAGCTTCATGGGCTGTGGCTTTCCGCGGGGCTTCTTTCAAGGGCCTGGTCCAAGGGCCCGAACAGACACCTGCAGAAGGCGAAAGGGTTGCGGTTTTCATCCTTTGTGAGGCTTTGATTCTTCGTGGACGGCGTCTTCGGCTCTTGGTGGACAACCTCAGTGTGGCGGGACGGCTTAGGCAGGGCCGAGCAGCGTGTGAGAAAGGTGATCCGTGGTTCTTGTGGAGACGCATCGCTGCGGCAGTACCTTGGCTGGAGGTGGCGTGGATTCCGGCGCACAGCCGCAGCCCCGACTGACTGGAGGCCTCCCGAGGGCTGGCTCGGGGCTGGCGACTGTCGGGAGCTCAATGCCAAAGCTGATGCGGCTGCTGGCGAGGCACTTGATCCTCTTCGGCCGGAGGTCGCGCAGGCGGCTCGGATGGCTTCACAGCGCAGGGCGTGGGCGAGGCAGGCTATTGCCCAGCAGGCGGAGGCCACACGCAGCTTCCATGCGGAGTACATTGAGATGGTGAAGCGAGTGGTGCAACAGCGCGTGCGCGCGCACTGCTGAGCTTGAGCCTCGATGCGGAGGCCGCAGCATAGGTGGCATCGGCGTCAGGCCATCTTCATTTTGGAGACCCAGGCCGTCGTCGGCAATCAACATCAATCAATCAACCTCTCAGTTCATGTACAGGCCCAGGTGTCAGTCAGAAATTCGAGGCTTCACCTCTTTCCGGGTTCAAGCATTTATCTTTGTAGCCCTACGCTCCAGAGTTGGATTAAATGGGCTGCAGCGTTGCTTGCTGAATCTACTGTGGACCGACCTGGGCAAAAGAGTTCTTGGGGCCACATGTTATCAAACTCTTTGCTACTCAGTACTTCAGCTGTCGGCACTGCCTTCATTCCAAGAGCACAACGGTCTCTATGAGAAGCTGCAGACTAGAAAGGAGAGCGTTGGCTCTCCCTTGGCCAGGAATGCCTGGCCGCGACCCATTGCCCACCGCCAAAACCTCACGTTAATGCCCTGATCCTGCCACAAGGCCCCCTTCATGTGTGGTGAAGAATTGAAAAGGCTCGGGTCAACCAACAGCTCATCACAAAATTGCGGCTCCGAACACCAAGCATCCAACCCGGATCCTTCCTAGAAAGCTCTGATTCTGAGGGAGCTTGCAAGCGAGTTTTTGCAGAAGACGGAACAGGAACTATCGACAATCTCAAGCGTCAGGAGAATCAATTCGAGAGGTCAAGGAGAAGTGAGGATGTTAGGCAGATACGTCTGGAGAAATCACGCCTGCAGCTGGTGGATGAAGGCCACTAGACAAATCATGGAGCCATCAAGCCGCCCATAGAGGGGACTAGCAATGGGAAGTAGTACCATTCTGACCCGTGCCCTAAGCGCAGCAAAGACAGTCAAACATGGGCAGAGAATGGTAGGCTTTGCAAGAGATGAGTGATGAAAGGTAGAATGCCAGCGTGCAGGTTGTCCTGAAGAAGCTCTTGAAGCAGCGAAGGCTGAAGTACAAGGAGCACAGCAAAGTATTTCCAAGCCGTGATGGAGGGTCATGTTCGTTTTAAGCAAGTGTTTGCTCAAACAAGTGACGTCTTGCACAGGTGCGGATTTTTCGGACAGCCAAAAGAGTTGGTATGGACGTTAATTGATGCCTCGCTTGACAGCATCTTTCTGCCACGGCGATTAAATCACTGCAAAAGCTTTGGGTTCCCCCGACCCGCAACAGAATGACGCTCCCGCAGATAGATGCCCGCATCAAGAGAGGGTCCAAGTTGCATCCTCAACCTTTGGCGCCCCACAATGGTCCAGCTGAAGGCATGATCTGCAGTCAGCAGTATGCAGGGACGGGGCCAGCAATCCCGAGAGCCTACAGTCTTTGCCTAAGTTTGTATTTGAAATTGTTTCAGGACCTTCCAGAGGAGGATATGCAAACCCTGCCCCTGGGTTGAATTTTAAGGCTGCCTCTCGCAGCCTTGTGGCACAAGACTCTGTCACACGAAGGCTGCATACAAATGTCATGTAGCGTTACTATCGCCTGGCTGCACTGACGATTGGCTCACAGTCTGAACCCCTGTTGTTCTGAATGACATGGCGAGAGAGATTGCAGTGCACCACTGCCGCATGCATTGGCATTCCATTTAATTTGTTCCCTGAGTTTGCACCTCACACTAGGGGCTTGTTCCTCCAGCGCTTGCCTCGCCACAGTCTTGTTTTATGGTGGTCCCTAATTTCTCGCGGCTCCGGTGCACTCCGGTGCACTGGCAAGCTTAGTCTAGAAGCATTCCGGAGTGTGCTCAGGAGAGTGCCCTCCAAAAATGCTACAGGGCGATCTTGAACTTGTTGCTGATCGGGGAACTTGCAACCAGGTCTCCGTAGGCGGCATTGGCTTTCATATGTTTTCATTCCTGAGCACTACAGAATACTGCAGGCATTACTGTCTCATAGCGACATGATCCAAAAGTCAGGCTTGCGCTGCAGCTTTTGCCGCCAATCACCAGGGCTTTGGATTGTCCTACTAGGGCTGGAGTGTGCGAGAGAGCCTGCACGCCATCTCAAACCCAAGGTTGAAATACGAGGCAGAGGTGCAGCGTTTGGACCCCGAGGACTCTGCCAGTGCTGGTGGCAGCTGTGTAGCGCTGAGACCGCGACATGCGTGGCAGACCAGTGAGGTACTCCTACTGATGGTTTTCCGTGCTGGTTGATTCGGCGGTACCCGGGCAATGTAGTCGCGCTCCGAAGCTCAGAAGCAGCAGCCGCAGGACGTGTACAGGCCGATCAATGCTGCTGGCATCACAGCGGAGCGTGCCTGTTCATTACTAGAGACAAGGGAGTGGTCAATTCTAGGGTTGTTGCAGGCTGCCAGCAAGTGCTAGCACGGCAGGCAGTAATCAGACCTGAAGGGCAGGAATTGATTGCAGGACTACTCAAAGGGCGGGTGGGTGTGTGGGTGCGGTAGGAAAGTTCTAATGAAGGGTTTACGCAGGATACGCAGGGCTTTCCAAGAGCGCAGCCCAACTTGAAATGCACCCGCATCATCGGCAGCACTGGTCCCCAGGTATTTGCGAAGCTGTGGATGAGATGGACAACGAAGCGGTACTGCAGCTGAGAAAGGAAGCTTGGATTAGCGGCCCATATTACTTGTCTCTTCTTCTGAAGTGGTCGCTTGTGACTTCTCATGGAAAACTTCCGCAGATACTACTGCCGCCGCAACGCACACTGCTACAGAGGTACATCAGCAACTGTCACTGCAAAAAGGGTCAAATGCCACTTTCGGGTGGACCATGCGCTGATGGGAGGGCAAAGAGCACCCAATTCGAATGGCCGTCCTTACCCCAAGCTCACTTGCGTTGCCTTGCATTACCCAACACGGCGCTACTTGATTTTTCTGGGATTGTCCATTCTGTTTCAAGAAGGCGTGAATCTGTCGTATGCCCTGAATGCCTTTGGTTATTCGTTTAAGTGGACATGTATGTAATTGCAAGGTGGTGAGCCCATTTTTCACACGTTTCTGCTATTTGCTCCAGGTAGCCCCGGAACCCTGGACTTCAAGCAAGTAGGTAAGGCCATACATAGCCTCCTGCTTGCTTGCTCGCTGAAGAGAAGGATTCTTCAACCTGTAGTGACTTTGAGAGAGACTCCCAGTAAGTGAGACTGGCAAAGCCCAGCTCGGGGAGCACCGGTGCACACCACCTGTGCAGAGCCTGAATTGCAGCCCGCTTACGGCGCACTTGACCCACTCCCTCAAGGAGGAGATGGGCCAAGTGGCGCAAGTGAGTCAAGTGTGGCAAATGGGTCAAGTCAAGTGCATTGCAAGTGGGTCCAGTGGCGCAAGTGTGTCGAAAGTGGGTCAAGTGCACTGAGGCAAGTGGGTCAAGTGGGGCAAGTAGTAGCAAACAGTTTTCCTTCCAGACACCCAAGCAAGCGTGTCAAGTTTGCAAGTGTGTTGCAATCAGTTACCGGTCCCTTCGTGCACGCGCACTGCAACATGAAGGCCAAGGGATCCCCTTACCAAAATCAAATGCAGGCAATCAAACCAAGCAAGTCGATGTGCCAGATGTTGTAGTCCAGTTGATGTCTGCAGACGCAACATGCATTTTAGGCCAATGTGGGCAAGAGAATCCTCAAAGTTCCGCAGTCTGAAAGGTGCTCTGCTAGGCAAACGTGGTGCAACATGTTAGCTTTGTTTGACGTTGAGGCGGCAACGACAACTAACATGAAGGCCCCAAGTTTCAGAATAACCCAAGGCTGTTGCATTTTGAATCGCGCAGCGCATCAAAGCTTTCATGCGCCCAAAATGCTTGAAGGGCACTTGTTATGTTGACTTCACCCCTGCTCCTTAGGTGTATTTGGACACGCCCAGCCATGTTGAGTGCGAAGGACCTTGTGGCGCTGGTCCATCAGAAGGCTTACGAGCTGGAGGAATGCGACACGCAGGCGGGAAAGCGCCTCTTCAAAAATCTTGCCATGGGTTCCTCCTGTAGGCGAACTAGCCTGGTTGTAAGCGGACTTCCGGGAGATCCAGAAACCATACTAGCTTACTGACGACTAAGGGTGCCAGAGCCCGGAATCTTGCAAGGCAGTTCGAGAGCACAGTGCTTACAAATGCAGCCTTGCGCAGAAGTGCCTCGGATAGGACATCGAGGAAGCCAAGAGATGCAAGAAGAAGGCGCTGAAAGAGAAGAAGGCGCAAGACGATCAAAGGATGCCCCAGGGCGATTCATAGGTCTTTGTCACGAGGCAGTTGCATTGGAGGAGGTCCTTGTCAGTGCTGAGTGCAGGCGGAGCTCACAAAGAAAGAAACGGAGCTGAAGAATCAGAAGATCCGCAAGCCTGCATCCAAGAGCAATGCCAGCACAAGCTGCTCGTTCTAAATTCCGGCTCCGTTTCTTTGTTCCAGATCGGCAACCCGAAATTCTTCCATGCCAGGTGATGACGACGATGTGGACTCCAACTGGGAGCTCGTCAACGATGTGCAGGAACAAGTTGACGATATCAAAGATGACGTCAAGGTGCTTGCAACAACAACTTACGGCGCATTTGCCAGGGTCTGGTGTCTAGAGGGATTCACAGCGTGCACCCTATTTGCTTCTACGCTTTGGCAATATCATGCAGTATCTGCTAGGAGGCCATGGTCAGTCTATGTTGCGACATGGAATCCATTTCTTCAGCACGCCTCTGCTGCTCTGTTTTCCCCTGCTGGTACCTTTAAGGATCTGGAGGCCGCCATCAAGGAGCTTGAAGCGGAAGCCAACAGTTCCAAGACTCAACTCAGCTGCGTCAGGTTGCCACAATTAGACAGTCGGACTCTCCACGTTCCCGCACCGCATGCAAAGACGTACTCACATTTCTTGTCGGTGGAAACTGAGGTTTCCGGAAGGCGCAACAGGCAGTCTGTTTTGGGCTGAGTCTTGCAAAGAAGGTTGCGCAGGTTAGGGGCCAGCCGTGATGGTGGTGTTTTGCATGGAGGTGGCATGCAAAGGACATGTCACTGTGCCCGCGCGCATCAGCCTCGTGACTGACAAACTGTTCATACAAGTTCGCTCTGGCAGGCAACGTGCAAGAAGCTGGAGCCATGCACGCGGATTCTGCAGATCCTTGGCAAGCAGACCTTGAAAAGTAGTGGTACGCTCTTGATTGCGTAGTGGATTGTAGAATGGAGCCTGGTCTACTTCATCTAGAGTCAAGGACTGCCTGAACGCATTGCTCTCTTTCAGTGAAAGCTCTTGCGTTCTTCCCTCGCCTGTGTCTTCATCCAAGAAGCCACTCCTCAGTCCCTCTGACAGGTTGGCTGTGGAGATTTGCTGCACCACATTCCGTGAGCAAGTGGCTGAAGAGGCCACTTCCCTGTGCAATCTGAAGCAGGCTTGCTTTGTGGCTAGTCGTATTGCGGTTGCGGGGCTCTGCAACTTTGGCAATCTCAAAAAGGCTTGACCAGTGGCTAAGTCAAGAAAGATTGGCACTCATGGTTACGGCTCAAGAGGAGAGCTCCTGCACGGACTGCATGGCATAGATGTCCTGCCAGCGTGCAGGGCTTTGACCGAGTCAAAATGTGGCAAGCTTCAACTGCAATGCCAAAATCTGTGGCAGCTTGTGCCCTGAAGGAGAAATCAGCACTGCGGGCCACCTTGGAGTCCTTCCGACCCTTTACTTTTCTCCTGTTTGCGTCCGTCCAGTTCAAGAACATGTGTGTGGGTTTGTATGTCATTCAGTGCACTGTAATCTTGGTACTGCCTTGTGTCATGTAAAGATCTAAGGCCTTGGTGTATGTAGGTATGCTGCAGCTTTAGCTATACCTGGGCCTTGCGCACTTGAGCTCCCTTGGCTGTTTGAAAAAATTGCCCAGCAACTGATTGAGCTGGTCTCTGCAACAAACACACGTAGCCTACCTTGGATCGGTGCCTAGACCAATCATTCCGAGTGGAAAGTTCTGAGCATGTCCAGGAACCAACATCTGCAAGCCCATGAGCACGTTCATGAGCATGACTCAGCAGGCCAAGAGTGCCACAGCTCCATTGGAGTCAATCGCTTGTCGAAGCCATCTTCTTCTCCAGGGTTTTCAGCGCTTCGAGAACTTCGGAGGTTTTCTTCAGGTTTTCTTTTCAGACTCTTGGTGACCTCCACTTCAGAGAGGCACGTTTGCTTTTCGCCTTGCACTCTGACGGTTTTCGCGCAGAATCTCAAACAATCTAATTACCAGAACAAGACACGGCTGCATGAACACTTTATGAGACGCATGAGACACATCAGGCGACAGGCCCACCTGACCTCCCTCATCTTACACAGAGCAGAACTTGCCAGTAAACAGGTGCAACGACAATGCAACAAACTAAAAAGGGGCCAAATGTGAGCCTTTCACACCGAAAGGTGTGCTCTTTGGATAAGACTGCAAACTGAGGTATGTTCATGGAATGCTCCTCGGTCTCTCCGCCTCTTCTCGTGGTGAATGGCTCTTCAAGCAAATTAGCTCTTCAGGATGCCGAGTGAGTTCGGCACACGAGACAGCGATGGTCCTGAAGATTGTGAGAGCAAGATCAGAAACTGGTGAGAGATTCTTGTGATTTGCCACCGCTGCTCCAGGCTGAGAAGTATTTTAGAGCTGGCCATTTTTGGCTGCGAGTCGCACGAAAGAAGCAGCCGGAAACCCGAGGATTAAGGTTGCAAATTGTCGGAGGTCATAGGCAGCAATGCTGGCTTAAATGCATTCTGTACCATCCCTCTGCTAGATACGGCCATTTGCTTTGAGAGTTTCGTGGTGCCTCGCAGCTTGCTCGAGCAGAGGAGCATCATTGTTCATGAAAAGGGAGCCACTAACTATGGCAAGGAGGCCTATAGTCATGGTCAGAAGCAGTGATTCATTGCACATTCCAGGAGTCAGATTTTGCTCCCAGGCTTCATGCAAAGCCAGGCGCAATAAATCACTGCTAAATACGAAGCCTCTGAATATTCAGACATGATTCTGCACACATCCCAGATCATATAGTGGGAGGGACGCTCCTCTGTGACAACCTTTCAGGTTGTCAGTGCAGCCTGCAATACCTAGGTTGAACTGACATGCCTGCATTTGCATAGGCAAAGTTTGCCCTGCAGGATCACACCTCCCAAAGTCCAGATCCACAGCGTACTGTGTCGCATGTAGTTAGAGTGTTTAAAACAGGCAATCAGGCAGATATCTAGGGCTTGTTTGTGCCTCATGTTGCCGCCCACTGGCATGTGGAGCTGCTGTGTTCCGATGCGTTTTTGAGCGCAGTCATGCTTGCTGCTGTCGTTTCCTTTCCAGGCCTGCAAAGATTCCATGCTTCCTTCCCTAGACAAAGAGCTGGTGGTAGCCAAGACGTCAAGGTCGACTGGAATAGGAACCGTCTTCCTGTTCACGCTGCTTGTTGGGAGCGTTCTGTCCCAAGGCGCGCGCCCCGGCAAAGCCAGCTTGAGTAATGCCTTTTCAATTTTGTGCGTGTCTCCAAGGGCTCCGGGAACGGACAGCCGGATGCCATTCAGACTGCTAGTAATCGATGTTATTTATTGTCTACGCCCCTTGCTGCTCTTACTGCAGGGGTCGATGTTTCTTTCAAGTGGTCCAAAAAGAAGCAATGATGTTTTTCTGCATGTGAGCCTTCCGCCAGGTGGTTGGATTCGTTAAAGCCCTAGCTGGCTTACAAATTGTCTTATTATCTTCGCAGCGGCCTGTGAAACATGCGCGTGCCGGTGGCTCACAGCTGCAATTGATAGAGTTCCCAGACAAGTGCCACAACTAAATGAGCCCAAATCTGAGTCCAGAAGCCTGAATCCAGGAACAATGCCAAAATTGCACGTATTCCAGCCATGAGTCGGCAGCGAATGGCCCTGGCCTGCCGTCCGCAATAACTTGTCTCTTGAGTATTGAAATGTCTGGCTCAGATTATGAGTGGCAGATGCTGGATTGGCTTCGGGTTGACGTGAGTCTCAACACGCATCAATGTGTCAGCTAGTAAAATAGACATTAACCGATAAATTTCGTAACGTGGCCTTGCTAAGTTTCGGACCCAACCCGCAAATCTATGTAGGAGGTGTCAGGATCCGCCAGACGATTGGGATTTCGGTGTACAGCTTTGCCAGCACATGGCGATGTGAGGTTGTGACTGTTTTTTGTTGTATCTGGGGATGTGCTACCTTGGCAACGGCCACTCAAACATCCTGGGTGCTGGACCTCTGCATACCCTTGCAACTGGCATGGCGTTCATGGATCATTTAGGAGAATAACTACAGTTACCTGAAGTCCTGGCAGGGCTTCCTCCACAACCCGCCCACGTCTTCAAGCTGTTGTTTGGTCATAGTCCCCAGATGATAGGTTGAATACTTTTGAATCGTCCAGATGGCATCCACGACAACACTGCTGACATTAGTGCAGATACTTGTAAATATTTCAGCTGGAATTATACTGCAGGGAGTTTGCGCTCGGGCGGATCACAAACAGGCTGAAATTATTTTATGGAGGCTGTGTAAGGATAAGCAGATGTTTGCTGCGCTGTCGTGCTCTTGATCGGGAACCTTCACAACTTTGAAAGCCCATTGAAAACACCACATTCATGCAGAATGTCATATTCTCGCTTTGCTAGCGGCAAGCCCCATTTCAGAACCCAAGGCTGTGCTTCTTGGGAGCCTGCTCAGTTACATTGCTGGCACAGACATCTCTGAGGCAGGAAGTTCGGCCGCTTTCAGGGTTTGGGGTGGAACTTGGGAACTCGGGCAACGTCAGGTTCGGATCCTCTGAGGATCTGCAGTACGACCGGGCTTGAGAGGTGCTCTGAACTTGCAGAGCGAAACCTCGCTGTTTGGCTCATAATTCATCAGCTGTCTTGAAGCCCTGACGCTCATTACTGAGTTTCAGCTTCGGCGCTAGCCTTTATACCAAGAACATGAAGGGTAACTCTCACCCTGGCCACATTGGCAAATTGCGCTTGTGCATGCCGCATGTTCCGGGCGGTGGGGGATGTATGAACTTTGCCAGGAGTGCGCGGTGCAGAGCTTGCTTCAGCTTCAGCAGTCAGAGGCTGCGCTGCAACAGCTTTCCACAGAGAGCGGCCTGCGCCGGCGCTTGGCAGCACTCAGCTCCGACTTACTGGAGGCACCACTGGGTTTCAGAACGTAGGCTCACAGATCAGGGCTAGACGGCCGTGATTCCAGCCACGCTCAAACTTGCTTCGCCCTGCAGGCTGTGCGAAGATATCCTAGCGCTGCTCTGAGCAGCAACAAAACCTTGGAGGCCGCTAGAGCCTTGCAGGAAGACCTGGATGTCCTGCAAGGGTATGTCGTCCTGGTGGACGTTGCAGCTGTAGAGAAGCTCAGAAGCGGCATTGCTCAGTGCAACGCAGCTGCAAAAGGTGCGTATGAGGGGCAAAACGGTGTGAATAGCTTGGAGTCCGCAATGCGAAACGCTGAAGAACGGCATGACGCCTGCAGGAGTGATCAGGTGCGCGTGCAGACACAGACTCACAAGTCTTATTACAAGTATTATTACAGGTCGTATCGATACCATTGGCATGTGTGGCGCTCACGTCGACGACCCAGGAGACGTTGGGGAGTATGGCGAAGATGGGCCAGATGGAGACGGGGCTACAAGAGCCAGGCTAGCTTATTGGCTTTCGCGCCTGCTGCTTCTGATGCAAACGCCAGCTGCGACGACATTCAGCACGAACTGGAACTATCCTTTTGCGACTTCCGCCAAAGCTTGACCCGTGCATGCTTGGAACTCGACATCTGCCGCTCACAACTGACAAGCAGGATGACAGAGGTTGGTGTTTCGCAGGAGCTGCTGAAGAGGGCGGAAGTTTGGCGCAAACAAGCCTTCACCGCAGAGACCCGGGCGCAGTGCTTTCTAGACTCGTTGTCCTCGGCAACTGGCGAAGCGGTTAATTGTGGCAACCTTGCGGTCGATACTTCTCATTTGGACCTGCCATTCCCAGGCCTAATGGCCTGCAACAAGTCAGCCGTGGAAGCCTACCCCTGCGGGCCTGCTTGGGTACGACAATACTATGGGAAGAAGCCATGGAAAGGATCCGCAGTGTTGGCTACCTGTACGCCTTGCCAAGTTAAGCTACCTGACGCCCTTTCCGAGTCCCCTGCACCACAAGGGTAAGCGTATGGACTCTTACCTTTGATTTCGGAGATTAACAAGGTATATGTCTATATAGCATGATATAGTTTGCAGTCTTACAAGAGGCCTGGAAATGCATTCGAGCCGTGGCCTGTCGAAGCAAGACCTTCGTTTAATGTCCAAACACCTAGTTTGGACCAACTCCCTCCACAGTGCATGCCGATGCTACTGCTTTCAACCAAAGCTTGTGAACTCAGCTTGCAGGGCATGTAGTGCTCGGAGGTAGGACACTTGCCCCACGCCTTAAGGGATGGGGCTGTTCATTCCCTGGTCACTCATGTGGGAAAGGCTACGCAAAAAGCGTTTGCGGCAACCATCCTCGTGCTTGCATACAGCAATGCGAGCTAACTCCAGGACATAAGAAGCTCGGGAGATGGTAGCTCTGAGTGCAAGTAGCTGTAGTTGTTCAGCAAGCTACACTTCGTTTGACGGCAACCACAGCTGCACATTGCAGCTTCGTGGCAAACATTCGATCAAAAAGCCAACGCCCAGAAATTCTTTGAAACAAGGTTGTCCCATTCTACATGGGCTCCTGCAGTACATAGGGAGGCAGTTCGGGGCGTTGGAATTGTTATTCGGGATCAAGGCCGACAACCTGGACAGCTTTGCTCGGTGGTGTCCTGCTTGTGGCTCAAGTTCCGGCACCGAAACGTCCCAAGTTGTCCTACCGCAGCATGACGGCCGGAATAGTCCGCGCTACTCTGGCGGTGGCCACCTGGTTGCTATCAGTTTGCAAGAGGAATCTTACTACACCTTTCGGGCCTGGCCTTGTAGTAAAAATGGATGTGTTGTGGAAGAGGCCCGACAACTGACGAGTAGCCTTGGCTTGGCCTGAACAAGCTGCAGGAAGGTCTCAACTTTGAAATCCCCTAATGGCGAGTCCTGGGCATCCACAGTCTTGCTGACTCTCCATCGCCCGTCCGAAGCAGGCTTCCCTACAACGCTCCTGAGCCACACAGCCCAGGTGATCGCGGTCAGTGAGCTAGGTCCTGGGCTGTCAACGGCGATCGAAAGCTGCGGAGATGAGCACAGCCTGATGCAGCAGAGGTTGCAGGAGAGTTCAGAGTTTGTGTCAGTCAAGCGAGTTGTAGGTTTTGCTTCAAATGGACGTCCGCGCTACACAGGGTGTGTAATGTACAAGATGGCTTGTGCTAGCCTTTTGCAAGTGAACGCCAGTGCGTGAGCTTTGCAACGGCTGGCTGAGTTTTCTCTGCGTGCATTTCACGGTGGGCTTGATGGCCTGATTCAGTGTAGGAGGTTCCGACAAACACCGTCATGAAGAACAGAGGAACCAGCACAGCAAAGCTCCATCGACGATCGCCGCGTCCGAAGTGGTTGAATTTGGGCGGAAGGTAGATAAGAACAGAATGCGTTATGTGGGAGTTTCCGCCAGTGCTCGGCCCTGTACCACAAAAGGGACATCCCAAAACAAATCCAAAAACAGGCACCCCATGGCACCGTCTGGTGAAAAAGTACTGCTTCATGCATGATCTGGGGCGCAGGAGAGTCCCATCTCCTTCCTGCAGACTTGGCAGCTCGCCGAGCAGTGCCTTGGTCCGCAAAGCACCGTGCCATTCGTTAGTCGTCCACATAATGCTTAGACAGCTCAAAGGGCAGGACGTGAGCAAATGTGTTGAGCTGGGTACAACGGATGAGCAGCATTTAGTGATGAGAATGTTGCGAGAACAGCTTACTTCACCAAGCCTGGCAACCAAATTTGTTGGATTAGATGTTCCGTCTTGGTACAGGCTATGCAAAAGATGAGTGCCAGCATGGCAAATGAGAAAAATGTAGATACTGGGATTGCAAGTGGCAGAAGACAGTTCCCGATCCTCCCCTCTGGACTCTGGACACAAATCGTACTATCGCAATGTTCTACTTTTTGCGCGCATGCTCATGCGGAGTGCTTGGTTCTGGGGTCTCGAAGTGGGATTCGGATTACAGGCATTCGCAGATGCACAACAAGGGTTCCCACCCGCAAGGATACCCAGCAACCTGAGGGCGTGAAAAACAACCTCTGAAGCTTCTTACCCAAGACCTTTCTACCCTTCAGCAGGCCACGATGCAGTCCCAACATCTTTGCAACCAGGCATTCTGCAACCCGAAAATCTGCGATAAGGTGACCTCCCTAAAAAGGGGCTGCAAAGGAAAGTATCATCCCTGAGACAATTGCTCCATGCCGAAGACAAAACATGCGCTTTAGGTGGTAGCAGCGTATTTCTGGGGTTGATGTAGACCATCGTACTGTAGGCCACCGAGTGGACCTAGAGCAAAGCCTGAGGTTCTCTCAGTCCCACAGCCCGGCCAGCTTGGGAAAGCTGACGGAGGGGCTGCGGCAGATGGCTGCTGCACGCACCAAGCAAGGTCCGAGCTTTACGGGTGGAAGTTGAGACAGTCGTACCCAAAGGTTGGTCTGTTGGAGAGCCTATGCCTGTGCAGCATGTGCATGTTCACATGATCTTTGCTGCACGCTCCACATGCCATTGCAATCGATCTGCTGCTGGCTGTACTTGGAAGGCTCCGCGGTGGACCTGCCCACCTCGAGCGCTTTGAATGGAATCCGGGAGCAGATGCAGACAATCAAGCGGGACACCGAGGCGGAGCACCAACTGGCTATCCATCAGCTGAACGAGCTCTACGGCGCCATGACCGCCTGTGATGCGCCCTCCACGCAAAAACCCCAAGGTGCCAAGGACAAGCTTAAGGCCGTGCACGACACCTGCAGAACTGAAGAGGCGGCAGCAAAGGGCTTTCTTCTTAATGCGGAGATTGAATACGAGGAGCTTGCAAAACCTCCACAACCTTGTTATGGACAATTCAATGATGGCCTCCTGGGCAAGCTCGAGGATCACGAGGTGGTGGGTTTGAAGCTGTGATAGGACATCCGCATTAGCCTGACACCCATGGCCACACGCCCTGAGCATCAGGTGATGCTGGCCTGTATCGAGAAGCCCCTGGGCAACACACAGTCTACTTGGAGTGTGTCGTGTTTCTCTGCCTTTCAGGGGGCCTATAGCCAACAGTAAGATGTGATTTGCACGCAAACTTCTGACACCCCACCAAGGATCAGAACCTGGGCCAACACTTTTAGGAATTTGGGTCCTAGGCAGAAGGCCAACTTCGACAAAGCGAAGGCAGACTTGTGCAAACTAACCCGGAAATTTACAAGTGTGTAGAGACCCAGAGATACTAAACGCCCACCATCAGCCAGCACCAAGATGTGTTGGCCGAACTCCCCCATGCAGGAGCGGTACATCAAGAAGCAGGCAAAATGCAGCAGCCTTCAGCATCAGTTCGAAACCAGTTTCTGTGAGTTGCGCACAAGCGTGGACGACTCATGCACGAGTCTGACGTCTTGTTATGAGCAGAACCTTGGTGCACTTTTGGCAGAAGTTTGTCCTTGTTGCATTAATGTTTGGCATGGCATGTCAAGTGCAACATCTCCCTCGTTTGCATGGCGGTATAGATCCTTACGCTGCAGTTCCCTAAGATGGTTGCTTCTTGTCTTTTCAAAGGCTGGATTGCTTCATTTCCTCTCCTCTGGCCCTTGCCCATCATTGCTGAGGGTGAACCTGCTAGTTTCGGTTTGAGTTAAACGTCAAGTTTGCAGACCTTTGCGGAAACTTGTGGCAGACAGTCATGGCATTCGAGGTGTCAGTGTGTAGCGCTTAGAAACATCCCAAGGCCAAGGCCGCAGTATCAGTAGATTTCCACGGTGCATGTAAATCCTTTGCCAGGATTATACCTGCTTCGCAATTCTCAGTTCCAGGCGCCGATTTAAGTGCCAAGCCTCGCCAAGCGGCTTCCCTCATTGTTGAAGACTGCTCCTTGAAATACTGAAATGTATATTCCGTCAAATTACGCCGCAGTAGAGTTTCCACTCCATGACAGCATCCGTACCGAACACCTAATATAGCGGTAGGGAGGACGGGATCCGAACACAAGCGTTGCACTGTGGATACTCGTCTGAGAAAGATGATTGTGCAAGGAGTTTTGAGGCCTGGGACAAGGCGAAGCCAGACTTCAAAACATTGGAGGCCTCGCGGAAGGCCACGTACGTGGCTGCGGAGAAGGTCGTCTGTTTCTTGGTGCATAGGCTGCCAGGATCCTGCAGGCTGAGCGCTTTTATACATGTCTTGGGTGTGTTGGCGTGTGAGAGTCTGGAGTCGGGGCATTCTGCAGGTCTTGCGTTTCCTCAGCACACCAAGTGACTGTAAACCGATACCAGACTCAGGTAACAGTGCAAGAAAGGTTGTGCTTGCACGTGGCCGAACTTCTAGTAGCATGGATGACGTGAAGTCTAGCTGAGAGCTTTTACGATTGTAAGGTTTGGTGACGGCGATGATGAAGACGGTCGTGCAGGATCAAGATGTCGGTGATTGTGACAAGCTAGTGGTGGATACTGACGCGCTGACCCTCCCAGCTTTCCGGGATGCTCCAGCCATGCCCGTTTGTGACAAGTCAGCAATTGCGACAGTCCCGTGTGAGCTAGGCTTCATCAGTCAATATTACGACAACCAGCCTTGGTCTGACTACGCCCCAGCAGACCCTTGCACGCCTTGCACACTGCCAGAAGAAGATGTGGAGGAAGAGACAACAACTCTTGGACCCTCCTGAACCAGGACAATATAGCTGTAGGACAGTTTGGCGCTCAGGCGGTTTGGTGTCCAACTTTTAAGTTTGAGTGAGCTGGCAGCTGGTGGAGCTACGAGTTCCCGTGGCTCGATTCTTTAAGGAAGGCTCACTGTTGCCAGGGGACGATGCTTTATGCTTGAAGAGATGAGGCTCTTCCTTCCCCAAGGTTGTACTGTCGACATTCCTGTCTGGTGGATAAACAGACCCGCAAGTACCGTGCGTCATTCAGAGCTTCTAAAGATTCTAATGGCAGCGCTCGCATGCTTGCGATTGATATCATCTCAAAGGTTTGCAACTTTTGCAAGCGGGGAAAGAATTTGCTATTGTGAAGGGTGACATTTGGTTTAGAGAGTTCGTTCTAGTAGGGATATAGATCTCTTGTTTTGGGCCGCGTCCATCCATGGAGAAATATGTACTCGCCATGGGCTCGAAAAGTGTACCCGCACGCGCGCGTGCGCGCCTTTCCTGCCTTGGCAGGCCTAAGCTGGGCTGGAGAGTTCGACTTTCTTTTCGGTAATGTCTCGGATCATATTTGCATATTCGCGGTCAGATGGGCAATGCTAGTCTTTGTCGTTGTTGCGTGGAAATCTTCTGCCCCAAACGGGCGCCTGTGCTATGGGTAGAAGGAAGAGGACATGGATGTACCTAGTTAGAAAGCCGCTGTGCAAGGACTTTGACTGCCATGCCGGCCAATGAGCTTGGGGCTAGCGAGTTTACCTCTTTCTGATGGCATGGTCATAGCAGCATCCCCCCCACGTCCTTCGCGTCATTGTCGTCCTTGTCCTCCTCGTTGCCTTCGTCACCACCGGCACTGCTGTAGTGATAAGTTGGGTTTGCAGCATGACCTGGGTGTTCAAGAGCCCCACGCCCTACGCAAAACCAGCCTTCAAACCTCTCAGCCGTGTTTGGTTGAGGTTTCTAGCAGTTGTCAACCTTTTGATCATTAAAGTCCAAACTTCAACCAAAGACCTCGCGACCCTAAACCAGAACCTTGAGCGGCAGAAACGACGGGTGGGATGAGTGACGTTGGGCTTTTCAGCCCAAGTAGCTTACTTCTTTGGCATCCTCAGCTTCAAGCATGCCACATATCCCAAGACCACCTCTTTCTTGTTCTCTGCGGCTTCGTGACATTTGGAGCTCAGCTCCACGGTTTTTTGGGAAGTTCCCGGTGGAAAACTCTCAATTTTCCAGCCATTGCGTGCGACAAAGCAAGCCCGCATTTTCGTCCTAAGGTTTCTTTCGCAGTTTCGCCAGGCTTCCATGGGAGAGGATGTCTGCTGGGGTCCTACGAAGTTCTGGGATCTACTCCATCCAGCAAGGATTAGTTTCGGCTGTCGCAAGTCCTTTCATCAATGCAGCAGTCATTAGGATCCACTCAGGTTGCTCTTGCACACATAATGCTCAGGAGACACGTTAGCCTGTGCCCTAATCATGTCTTGGAGGATTCTCACGGAGCCCTACTCGGTCAAAGTGTTCGGGGCGTGTTTGAAGGGATGATATAACAATGAAAATCTAAAGGCGGAAACGGTCGATCCTCCAGTCAACGTTTGCTTTAAACGTTTCGCCGTCAAACTGACCCAGCTTTTTATCCTTTGAACAGGCATCATGGGCAATTGCAACTGCGGCTTCAATAATACTGCCCCTATTCAGGATTCCAATGATCCGAGAATAACTTCAGAATTTTTCTGCCTTCCCTTGACTTCAGCAATTCGACAAACATTTCATTAAATTGATATATACAGAACAAATAACAGGGAAATATTTGATTGAGAATAACTATAATGAGAAATCCGATAAGCAATATTTATAAAATATATCAGATTATAAGATCGCATATGATGAATATGGCCGACGTATACAATATTGATCAAGAAATAACTCAAAATTTAAGATTTTTTTGGTCGCGTGATTCTCCCCCCCCCCACCCGACCCGGCCTTCTTTCTATATCTATTTCTCTTGGGCTAGGAGCATATGCGATCTCGGGAGAATATATAAATTTACGATTAATAATGCGAAAAATATAATATGAAGATTTCTATCTCTGGTCTATGTATTCGGTTCCGACCGAATATGTATAGAAATAATTTGTTATTTCGGATAATCTGAAAATATAGGGGAAAAATAATTTAGGATTCGTAGAAATCAGAGCCGATAAAATACGAGCCGCTAGGATTGCCGCGCAATCAATCTACTAGTTAGGTTTGTGTTTGCAGAGAGACGGAGGCAGAATTGGCGAGGGATGGCAGAAATATCGAGTAGCGGACAATGACGTGCGAATTAATAGGTCGGGACGGTAATATGGCGCGCATTATATAAAACGAGAATTCTATAATATTAATTTTCGCGTTTCATTTCGAATTATAATTAGCTAGATTCTTTTATTTATATTCATGATTCGAAAATACGATTTTATTATGATGAATTATTGATAAGAGAAGCAGATTTATTTTGGAAATATTTTAGCAATTTATATATTATAATGAATTGATTATATGAAATCTATAAAATATTTTGAGAGATTGAGATTTATTAGATATGCTAAGCTTATGAAGATAATATGAAGATATATATTTCTATTCTATAGGAATTTATTGATATATAATTGGGGATTGATAGGATCTTTTATTAGAATAATATTGATTTAGAATTCTTGATATGAGGATTAAATAAAAAGAGAATAGATTAATAGATTTGCATTTACTAGGATTTCTTGGCGCCTGCATATTTTACGAATATGCTACGAAAGCTAAAATACTCTATGATTCACAATATCGAATGGGGTTAGATTCAAAAAAATATTATAACGATTAGATTCTCAATATAAGATAGCATTCATTCTAGCATTCATTCATCAATAATTGTCTATATACGCTGACCAAAAAATTAAATCGAGCTCCTGCATTTAATAAAGAAATAAGATAGCAGCAATTGACAATTAATTCCCAGCACGGTTTCCCCAGACGATTTCTCCACGAGCCCCGCAGCCATATTTTCTTAATAAATTCCATAACCAATGAAAGCATCGCTTCTCTTCAAAATGCATTGACAGTATAAATTTGGAATATTTTAGGATCCAAACTATTTATGGATAATACTATTCTATTGATCTATATTACGACTATCCGCTGAGACTTGGGCAATATTACTAGCAACACAAGTCCCTCAACCTTAAATCCAATAGCTTAAATATCAGCGCTTGCACATCGTAATAATTCAACAGGCAATTCTTATTTTTGCTTGCAATACAGATATCTCAGCATCGCCCGCATCCCAAAATATTTGGCAATTGAGAATCTTGCCATATCACGTTGACAATGATATGACCTTTGTAAAAGTGCAGTGCGCTGAAATTATATTCATGATACTTGAGCATGATTAGCCCAAAATTCATGCTTTCATGCTGATAACTAGAATAACGTAGATATATTATCCTGAAAATTATTCAATCCAATCACTCTAAAATATTGACCAGAATAAAGGCTCCACAATAACCGAAAATCAATATCTGGCAAATTTTCAAATGACTAATTTCTTAGCTCATAATATCAAAAGATATATATTTTCAAAATCTGCTTGCCGAAATTCTATTCAAATTTGATTCATTAAAATTTCCACCAATGATGCCTCTTGAATACTTCAAATGATTTGAAATTATGAGATCATTTCTATGAATAAAATTTATCTTAATCTCCAAGATTTCCGATCAATAAATAAATGTTCTTTTTTGATCTTCAAAATGATATTGAAATGAATTCTTGGAATCATCCCGATGATAAAAAAAATGAAATATTTTTCGCATCATTTTTTGATCTTCAAAATGATACTAAAATAGATTCTTACAGCCATCATCATGATAAATTCAAATATTATTCGCATCATTTTTTGGATTTCAAGATGATACTAAAATGAAATCTTGAAAATATCACCATGACAAATGCAATAATTTTTCGCATCATTTTTTGGTCTTCAAAATGACACTAAAATGAATTCTTGGAATCATCATCATGATAAATTCAAAATTTTTCGCATCATTTTTTGGTCTTCAAAATGATACTACAATAGATTCTTATAACTATCATCATGATAAATTCAATTATTATTCGCATCATTTTTTGGATTTCAAGATGACACTAAAATGAATTCTTGGAAATATCTCTATGATAAATTCAATAATTGTTCGTATCTTTTTTTTTTTATGATCTTCAAATTGGCACTGAAATGAAGTTTTTGATCTATGATTATGAAATAGAAGATCAAATTTTTGCTCAAATTGATCAATCCCAATTTTTTTGATTGAGATCCAAATGATCATTTTGTCAAAATTATTCCATTTCTGCGCAATATATTGGCTCCAATCAAATTGCAATTATGAATATTTGAAAACTCAAAATGACAGACCAATAATTCATAAAACGTTTTTTTTCTTATGATAATATTGTGCAAAAAACGACTAAAAATGATAAATATCTTAAATTTTGTAAAGGTGCACGCATGACAAAAACGTAATCAACAATTCAGTTAGAGTTGACAAATTTGAACAAATGCTTTGAGTTTTGTCAAGGAAGGCATGATGAAAACGTCATTAAAAATTCAATTGGATTTGATAAATTAAAGAAAATATCTTGACTTTTGTTGAGATGCAAGCATGATAAAAACGTAAACAAAATTCAATTAGATTTGACAAATTTATATCAAAATACAAATTGAAACTAAAGGCAGCCCGCCGCATTCCCCCCTCAAACTTGATATTTTCAAGCTCCAGAACGCTTGCAAAAATGACACTTATACAAGCCCATTGACACCTTCAAATTTCACTTTTTCTGACATTTTGAGCAATTTTGAGCAATTTTGAGCAAATTTGAGCAAAATTCAGCAAACTTGAGCAAAATTGAGCAAATTTGGGTTTTTTTTTTGAATCTATTTCAATCTGATTTGAACAAATTCGAATAAATTTGAGCAAAATTGAGATTTTTTGTAGTCA